TTATTAAAAGTAAAATAGTGGCCATATAATGGCATTTTCAGGGAGTAGAAAGTAAGAAGTAAAAATCAACAGGAAATCAATGTGAGCCACATAGAATAGTTCTTGTTGTTATATGTTTGATATGTGTTTAGTAATGTGGGTTATATAGGCTTTAGATTGAGTTATTAGTTCTTGTAATTCAGTTTTATATTATCATGAAGTAGACTTAGATCTACATTTTGGACTTCGTCACATTGAGGTCACTGATTTGTAATAGAGGGAGATTCAGAAAGGATTGTGGTGAATCTAGTGAGGGCTGTGGGGAATCTGCCCTCCCTCCCTTACTTACTTACTTAGGTAATCCCTCGTTGGCCGAGTAGGATAGTCTTCCAGGATCAGAATTCTGGTGGGTCCGTAGGTGACTGTGGAGCCCTATTCTTGATCTGCATCTTCTCCCACAGTGAGGACATTGGTTTCTAGGTGGAAGGTGGTCTCGGTCGGGGTTGGCTTGATGCACCTTCCTCTTGGCACGTTTCTCTCTTTCGCCCTCCGTTCGTGCCTCTTCAAATTCTGCAGCACTGCTGGTCACAGCTGACCTCCAGCTGGAGCGCTCAAGGGCCAGGGCTTCCCAGTTCTCAGTGTCTATGCCAGAGTTTTTAAGGTTGGCTTTGAGCCCATCTTTAAATCTCTTTTCCTGTCCTCCAACATTCGGTTTTCCGTTCTTGAGTTCGGAATAATGGAACTGCTTTGGGAGACGGTGGCTGGGCATTCGGACAATCTGGCCGGTCCAACGGAGTTGATGGCGGAGGACCATAGCTTCAGTGCTGGTGGTCTTTGCTTATTCCAGCACACTGACGTTTGTCCACCTGTCTTCCCAAGAGATTTGCAGGATTTTCCGGAGGCAGCGCTGATGGAATCGTTCCGGGAGTTGCATGTGACGTCTGTAGACAGTCCACGTTTTGCAGGCATATAGCAGGGTTGGGAGGACAATAGCTTTATAAACAAGCACCTTGGTATCCCTACGGATGTCCCGGTCCTCAAACACTCTCTGCTTCATTCGGAAAAATGCTGCACCCGCAGAGCTCAGGCGGTGTTGTATTTCGGTGTCGATGTTGACTTTTGTGGAGAGGTGGCTGCCAAGGTAGCGGATATGGTCAACATTTTCTAATGTTACACCATTAAGCTGTATCTGATCTGAGCAATAGAGGGGGATTCAGAAAGGATTGTGGTGAATCTAGTGGGGGCTGTGGGGAATCCGCTCTCCCATACTCTGCATCGCCCACATTGCCCCTTACATTATCCCACAGAGGAAAACACTGCCACCCGGCTTCCTCCTGTTGTTCTCTATCCAACATGGGAAGCCTTTTGTGTTGTTGACACTGCCTCTTAGAACTGTTCAATCTCACTTCAGGCATGGCGCCCCGCTAGAAATAGATCTACGTTGTGCGATGGGATCTGGCAGGCTCCATGCCTGAAGTGAAGTCGAACTGTCATAGGATGGGCAATTTTGCCTGTCTGAAGGTATTGTAAAACACAACTCAAAATTCAGGGTTCAATTCCTCCAGCTGTATCATTACTTTAAAATAGTAATTGCCTGTTACTTCCCTTAGCTGCATAATGCAATTGAGTCAAATCAGTTATCACAGGGACTTTGCAATCGCTGCTACTTCTGTAACCCAAGACTTTGATAGTTTATTAGAAGTTAAAATCATTGTGACTTAGGAGTCATTGCACACGGGATCATGTTGGAAAAATCAGCCAGACACAATGAATGGTTGCAAACATTTGTGAGTTTAGTAGCCATGGACTGGAGCATGTATATTTACATCTTGGTGCACTGTTGCAAGGAACAGGAGGGGCAGTCAGAGTGTGTCCCATTCCTGCATATCTTGTGCAAGGTTGAAGCTTGCCATTTCAAGGTCAAGTTGTTGTTGCTGTAGACATGGGGAACAGCAAAAGTGGATGAAAAAAGAAGCTAGGCTTCAATAAAGGCTTAAATAGTGGGAAAAAGTGAAACTCCATGATGGGTACAGTAAAAGGACTGCTTATTCCCATACAAATGTTCTTATATCTTAAAGCAGTGGTTCCCAACACTTTTTGGTTTCAAGGTTCGTAAAAGCAACCCCATTTATTAGAATCATAGAGTTGGAAGAGACCTCATGGGCCATCCAGTGCAACCCCCTGCCAAGAAGCAGGAAAATTGCATTCAAAGCACCCCCGGCAGATGGCCATCCAGCCTATGTTTAAAAGCCTCCAAAGAAGGAGCCTCCACCACACTCCGGGGCAGAGAGTTCCACTGCTGAACAGCTCTAACAGTCAGGAAGTTCTTCCTAATGTTCAGATGGAATCTCCTTTCTTGTAGTTTGAAGCCATTTTCCAAACTACAGGGCAGCAGAAAACAAGCTTGCTCCCTCCTCCCTATAACTTCCTCTCACATACTTATACATGGCTATCATGTCTCCACTCAGCCTTCTCTTCTTCAGGCTAAACATGCCCAGCTGTATAAGCCGCTCCTCATAGGACGTGTTCTCCAGACCCTTATATCATTTTAGTCACTGTCCTCTGGACACATTCCAGCTTGTCAACATCTCCCTTCAATTGTGGTGCCCAGAACTGGACACAGTATTCCAGATGTGGTCTAAGCAAGGCTGAATAGAGGGGTATCATGACTTCCCTGGATCTGGACACTATACTCCTATTGATGCAGGCCAAAATCCCATTGCCTTTTTTTGCTTCCGCATCACATTGTTGGCTCCTGTTTAACTTGTTGTCCACGAGGACCCCAAAATCTTTTTCACAAGCCATGCATCCCCCATTCTGTATCTTTGCATTTCATTTTTTTTCTGCCTAAGTGGAGTATCTTGCATTTGTCACTGTTGAACTTCATTTTGTTAGTTTTGGCCCATCTCTCTGATCTGTTAAGATTGTTTTGAATTCTGCAGATCGTTTTGAATTCTGAGGGAAGATTTTGAGGGCAAAACTGCAATTTAACTGCAGTTTATCAGCTTCATGCTTATTCTGTCTCTTAAGAGATTATCTGAAACCTGCTAAGTAAATCTAAAATGTGGGTGGGAGGGATGGAATTGGCTTCAATATCTATTTCTGTGTTAGGGAAATGCAAGTCTTCCTCTGTCAATGACCCATATATTTGACATACATTTTAAATCTGACTGTGAGAGCCGTTCAGCAGTGGAACTCTCTGCCCCGGAGTGTGGTGGAGGCTCCTTCTTTGGAAGCTTTTAAACAGAGGCTGGATGGCCATTTGTCAGGGGTGATTTGAATGCAATATTCCTGCTTCTTGGCAGGGGGTTGGACTGGATGGCTCATGAGGTCTCTTCCAACTCTTTTATTCTATGATTCCATTGCCATAGCGATTTTGTAACAGACAGATTCTAGACTGCAAAAAATAAAAAAAAGTTCATGTATTAAAGTGAACTTCAATGGAGATTTCAAACTTTCCAATCAAATGCTGCTGTTCTTCTACAGTCACTCTCAGAATATTGTGTATATATTGTTTACAGGGCAAACAAATGTGGAAGTCACTTCTGTCTCATGTCTAATCTTGGATGAGCCCAGTCCTTGCTGGCCTTTTGAAAGTAGAAGGAACTAAAGACATCCAATTAACCTCTTGCAAAAGAGGCTAAGGGCTGCATCACATTGAGATCCTGAAGCCAGGGCATTCACTGGCCAGCAGGGCAATTCCGGTGGGCAGTGTGGGAAACCGTTGCCCCACACTCCTATTCCCTGTTGTACCAAATTTCATTTGATACAACAGGCGGCAGCCAGGTTACTAACTGGAGCGACTTACAGGAAGCGGTCAACCCCCCTGTTTAAGGAGCTCCACTGGCTGCCGTTCATTCTCCGGTCCCAATTCAAGGTGCAGGTTCTTACTACAAAGTCCTGAACGGTTGGGGACCTGCCTACCTGCGTGACCGCATTTCTGTGTACGAACCACTTGATCTCTCCGATCATCTGGAGAGGCCCTACTCACGCTCCCGCCCCCTTCGCAGGCGCGATTGGTGGGGACGAGGGAGAGGGCCTTCTCTGTGGTGGCCCCCTGACTCTGGAACTCATTCCCCAAGGATATCAGACAAGCCCCCACATTGGCAGTCTTTAGGAGGAGCCTGAAAATGTGGCTGTTCCAGTGTGCCTTCCCTGAATAAGGAAACAATGCCCTGCTCTGATCAATTCTCTGTCATTGTCCTGAGAAGCACTTTACTACCCATTGAGTTGCTCTCCCCACATTATCTTTTAAAACCCTCCTGCTTAGATACATCCTACCTCTCTCTGTTCATGCCCAGTGTTTATTTAAAAAAATAATTTATTACATCTGGCCTGGCCATAAGGTTTTAAATTCTCTGTGTTATTGTTTATATGTAAATTATATTAATTGTACTGTTTTATTTGCTTGTTGTTTTGTTTGTACTGATGTGTTGTTGGGCTTGGCCTCATGTAAGCCGCCCTGAGTCCCCTTGGGGAGATGGTGGCGGAGTATAAATAAATATTATTATTATTATTATTATTATTATTATTATTATTATTATTATTATTATTCTACAATATGTCCTAGGATGCCCAAAATCTAAGTGATCTATATAAAGAACAAAACAAAACAATCCAAAATTCCATTCCATGAATCTTGTGTGATGGAAAAAGGCAAACCATTTAGGGAAATATCATGTGGGGAAACCCTTCGGAGTTTGAAAGTCAGGGTGGGTCATATTTTTTTCTCTATGAACCATTTGTGATGTAGGCATTGTCTTCCAGGAAATGCTTCCTTACCCTATCTTACGCAATGCCTGCCTTATAAGTACTGCTGAGCAGAAGTTGGAGCAAAAGCCACAAGAGTGGACTAGATGGGAGCTATTTATGAGATTTTAACATCCGTTTCTCAGGAGCTGTTGGGTTAATTTATGGCAAGAACACATTGATAGGAGCTCTTTTGGCAATAGCTTGCTTCATCAGCCATATGGAGAAAACAAAATGAATTTGGAATGAGGTGTTTTGCTTCTTCTTTCCAGCTTGATCTCATCAGAGGAAGAAGACGGATTGTATGTTGGAGGCAAATACCCAGGAGGTAAGATTCACCTTCCTTACCAAACATGAAAGATCCAGCACTTCTCCTGTGGCAGACAAAGGAAAAATGCAGATGTTGAGAAAGTAACTTCTTATGAGACAACACTAATAGCCTGGGAGATAGTTCATGAAAGTAATTTTTCACTATCTAGAAAAATGTCATATTCTATTATTATTATTAAGTGCTTTGCAAGTAGATTTGTTTTCCAGCTGTGTGGGCACATGTACCAAGCACATAAATAAATTCCTACATTTTCAGATCTATGACCTGCAATGGGATAGGGCTGAGGGAGGTGTCTCTGTCATGCTGGATCTACACTGTCATATAATCAATTTCAGAATGCAGATTAACTGCATTGAACTGCGTTATATAAATCTGCACTGTGAAATAATCCAGGTCAATGCAATTAATCTGTATTCTAGGAGCCCCCGGTGACGCAGTGGGTTAAACCCCGGCAGGACTGAAAATCAACAGGTTGCAGGTTTGAATCTGGGGAGAGTGCAGGTGAGCTCCCTCTATCAGCTCCAGCTCCTCATGCAGGGACATGAGAGGAGCCTCCCATAAGGATGGTAACACATCAAAACATCCAGGCGTCCCCTGGGCAACGTCCTTGCAGATGACCAATTCTCTCACACCAGAAGTGACTTGGAGTTTTTCAAATCACTCCTGACACAACAAAAAAAAATCTGTATTCTGAAACTGCATTATATGGCAGATTAGATCCAGCTTAAGTGAGACCAAGCAAAGGGCTGCTGCGACACTGAGGTGGGTGGGTTGATGATGGCACAAGGGATTGCCATACCGTGTCCTCAAGCCGATTGAGCTCAGGAAACATGGGATGGCAATCAAGACAATTGCTGACTGCCCTTAAGTTGAGATAGAACCCAAATTCTGGACCAGGATTCTGCTTTTCTCCCAACTTGCACTAAATTAATCCGTATCAGCCCTGTTCAGCATTTAATTGCCATTTTTAGTTGATCAATTCTCACACTGATCTAAGTAGTTAGTGTAGAAATACTCCTTATTTGATCTTGAAAGTTAAGCAAGCACAAATCTGGTTAGTGCTTTGATGGGAGACCACCAGTGAATACAAGGTGCTGTTGGCTATATTTCAGAAGAAGGATTTGGCAAACTACTTCTGAGCATTCCTTACCTAAGAAAACTCTGTGAAATTCATGTAATAATAATAATCATCATCATCATCATAATCATTATCATCATAATAGGAGCCCCCGGTGGCGCAGTGGGTTAAAGCACTGTGCTAGCAGGACTGAAGACCAATAGGTCGCAGGTTCGAATCCGGGGAGAGGCGGATGAGCTCCCTCTATTAGCTCCAGCTCCTCATGCGGGGACATGAGAGAAGCCTCCCACAAGGATGATAAAACATCAAAAATCATCCAGGCGTCCCCTGGGCAACGTCCTTGCAGACGGCCAATTCTCTCACAACAGGAGCGGTTGCTCCTGACACGACAAAAAAATAAATAAATCATCATAATTATCATCATCTTTATTTATTCCCCGCCACCATCTCCCCAAAGGGGACTTGGAGCGACTTACATGAGGCCAAGCCCAGCGATACATTCCAGCAGCATAAAATATAAACAACAAAATAACATCACAATAAAATAAATAAACCAATCAAGTAAAATAAACAGTACAAAACAACATAATGGAAAATCAAACACAGTGGGCCGGCCAAATGCACGACATAAAATGATAAAACTCTGGATGAGATAGCAATGAAAAAGGTATATTTGTGGGGGAGGAGCTCGTAGGGGACTAGACAGTGGAATTAGACTTTCAATAAAGTTGGGGAATGCTGATGTATTATCTTATTGTTGTAGGAAACTAACTGGACTTAATGAAGCACTGAATAGTGTGGGACAGCAAGAGATTCGGCATCCTTGAGTTCTCCAAGAACTACCACAGAAACTATGATGGATTCCAACTGAATGGTGTTCAACAGTAACAGCCTTCCTGGGATTGTGCCTTCAAACTCTATTCTAGACTTTGAGGAGATGTTGGACTCAGTCAAATGTGTTTTGGTAGGAGATTCTGCCGTTGGGAAAACTGCCCTGCTGCTGCGTTTCACATCAGAGACGTTTCCGGATATGTATCGGCCAACAGTGTATGAAAACACAGGCGTCGATGTTTTCCTAGATGGTGTCCAGATTAGTTTAGGCCTTTGGGACACTGCTGGCGGTGATTCCTTCAAAGGCATACGTCCGCTTTCCTACCAACAAGCAGATGTCGTCTTAATGTGCTTCTCGGTGGCCAATCGCAACTCCTTCCTCAACTTGAGAAACAAATGGGTCACGGAAATCCGGACACACTTGCCCCGGATCCCAATTTTAGTGGTGGCGACCCAAACTGACCAGAGGGAAACGGGACCTCATAGTGCAGCCTGTATCAGCCCGGTACATGGCAAGCGACTAGCCAAAGACATTCGGGCCAAAGGCTACGTGGAGTGCTCCTCTCTCAGCAACAGGGGAGTGCAGCAGGTTTTTGAGTGTGCCGTCCGGACAGCAGTGAATCAAGCAAGAAAGCGAGCCAGGAGGAATCTTTTCTCTGTCAATGAGTGCAAGGTGTTTTAATTTCCATGCAGTCTCCTTATCCATCATCACAAAACTGAGTTAATTCCTGCCACATAATGTTTTCATTTCAGCAGATGGAAAACAGTACCACCTTCACAGTTGATGCAGGTTTCTCCTGGGTGGCGTCAGGACCTCTCCTCATGAGAATCTTAGTGGTACTCTGGACCAACCCAATTCCAATATGGCACTGGTGCCATTTCCCCCTCCCCAGCTATGTAAACTGATGGGAAGCCAGACTTGAAGATTTAAGAGTGGCAGCACAATCATTATTATTAAGGTGTGGGATTTCAGAGCCTATTTATTTAACAGTGGAAGCTGAGTTGCTTTGGATGAAATATTGTCTCCATTTAAAAGATGGAATTAATGAAATATATCTTGGAGACTTATGCAGGTATTTCCCATATTAGCACAGAGATTATTTGTTACTGACAAAACCCTGAAAGGTCATAGGATTCACTGGTGACAGGAAATGATATGTTTCTGTTAGAAAAATATTGTGTTCAAAGCCAGGGTCAAAAGAAAACTGAGTATGTCCATAAGACCTGGATGTGGAACTTAAAACTATGTATTTTTATATATTTATATTTTTAAAAGTTATTTAGACTTCCTTGATGAAGCTTGTCTCCTCAATAGCCACTCTTGATTTAAACAGAGGCTGGATGGCCACCTGTCAGGGGTGCTTTGAATGCAATTTTCCTGCTTCTTGGCAGGGGATTAGACTGGATGACCCATGAGGTCTCTTCCAACTCTGTGATTCTTTGTAGCCCAGTCAAATAAACCTATCCATGAAAAATTCCAGTTGGAATTGTTAATAGCTAGAGCAGGGTTCTTCAAACTTTTTAAACAGAGGGCCAGGTCACAGTCCCTCAAACTGTTGGAAATTATAATTTGAAAAAAAAAAAAACCATGAATGAATTCCTATGCACACTGCACATATCTAATTTTAGTTCAAAAACCCCTTTAAAACAATGCAATAATTAAAATGAATAACAATTTTAATATAAACTTATTAGTATTTCAATGGGAAGTGTGGGCCTGCTTTTGGCTGATGAGATAGGATTGTTGTTGTTGTTGTTGTTGTTGTTGTTGCTGCTGTGTGCTTTCAAGTCGTTTCAGATTTAGGTTGACCCTGAGTGAGGGCCGGGTAAATGACCTTGGAGGGCCGTATCCAGCCCCTGGGCCATAGTTTGAGGACCCTGAGCTTGAGTCTTTGCCAGTTCTTATGTTCACATCTAATTTACTAGGCAGATACTCAGATAATTGTTCTGAACAGAGATCTGGCACAATAACCCTTTGTTATCTTCTCACCCCTCAAGATCCATATATTAGCCATCATGTTCCTAATCAGATATCTAGTTTGCAGAAATGGTCATCATCACACCTCTCAAAGTTCACATCTAAGAGGATGAAAGCAAAATTCTCTTATGTTGCTTGTCTTTTTACCTGTAATTTCAGGGTGTGAAAAAGGTTAATTTTAGATTTCAATTCCCTGACTCGCCAGTGTAACATCACCAATGATTCAACCTTTGGGATTTCACCTTTCTCTAATCTCTAATTATTGGTGATTCGTGCTGGGGATTCTGGGAGACGTAATCCCAAAGGCAAGCTCTGCCAAGGCAAGACTGATTAGTTATTACAATTTACAGTTACTGTAAATAATATATCTGAGTCCTTTAAACTAGTGGCCATTTCTACATATTGTGGTGGTTAATTCCAGGCACCACTTGCACACTGTGCAAATACTTACCGTATATTCCGGCATATAAGACATATAAGACAACCCCCAACTTTTCCAGTTAAAATATAGAGTTTGGGATATATTCACCATATAAGATTACCCCTCTTCCAACGCACACCAAATAAAATTTTTAAAAGCATCAGATATTATTTCAATATGGTAATTTTCCTATTACAGTACCTCCTTCTCTGCCTCTCAGATCTCGCACATGCGCCTCTGCACCACTTCACTGCAGTCTTCAGGAGCGAGATCTGAGAGGCAGAGGAGGAGGTCTGGTAATAGGATACAAAGGCGGGCCAGAAAGGTAAAAGGTGTGATTGTCTGGGCCCAGAGCCACTCTATCTCTTTTTTTCCATACCCTGGGTGCCCCGGAAGCCTGCAGCTTGCTCCGCCCTTCACTTACACCTTCCCAGTGAGGCATCCCTTCACCTCACCATCGGGACTGCATTAAGTCCACGAATCCTGATGAATGGATTTTCTTCTACTGTACTTTTACAGCATCACCCTTAATGCTTTCATACAGTCTCTGCATACGGCAGGGACATGGCCATTGCCATTTTTGAGTTTTCCCCACCATATACGGCAACCACAGATTCTCCAATCCGATTGGAAGTTTTAGCACCCGCTCTATAATACAACTCCCATGTATAAGACTACTCCCGCATATAAGACTACTCCTGTGTATAAGACTACTTCCATGTATAAGACTACTTCCGCCTATAAGATGACCCCACGTATAAGACGACCCCTGACTTTTGAGAAGATTTTCTTGGGTTAAAAAGTAGTCTTATACACCAGAATATACGGTACTTCTCGTTAATATCCTGGAATTATTGCCAAAACTAATCCAGATTTAAGTCTCCACAATTCCCTTGCTAGTATTCACATGGGCAGATTTCCCATACATGGACATTTTAGAAGTCAGTGCTCCTGTATTTTTGAATATCAGCTTGATCTGCTTATCTTTATGCCATGAAAGTATTTTCTGCTTGACGTTTGAAGACCAAATTGTTGTTCAAGGCATAGAAGCTGGTCTGGATGTTTTTCAGTTCAATACTATCTGTAACAGGCATTGCACCGAGAATGTAAAATGTGCTCTCTGATCTGTGCTGGTTTTCTTCGTATCTGGATTAGTATCGCAAGTGACAGAGCAATAGGCAGGAAGCTGCTATCTCAACATGTGCCCAGAAGATCCTGAGAACCCTTCCGTTGTGTTATCATACATTTTTCTTGCTGCTGGTGGTTGAACTACCGGTGATTACACTGTCATGATTCACTATCTTTCATTTTCAAGATAAAGGTTGTGACACCAAAGGGGCAGAATCCTGAGTGGGCAGAATGGAAACTGTGTCTCATCGTGAGGCTTAAATTAAGGTGAAAAAAGATGTACATAAATGTCATTTCCTATACAAGCTGGAAGCTTTAAAAAGCCACATAAAATAGCTGACGATTTCAGTGGGACTTCTTCCAAATTGGAGGCTTATGAATTGCAGTCTTGTTTTTGATGTTACCAGTAATTTTAAATTAGCACTAAAACTGTATGTACATCATTTTTTAATGTTTTTTGAACCCTAGTTTTCTCAGAATCTTCTTTTAAAAATAAAGCGATTTGTAGTAAATAGCATCCTTTTGTTTCTTAAGGAATTGTCAACAGCTACCATATCAAAAGGAAAAGATGATACGGCCTGTATTTGATTCTTTTTATAAGGTTTTCTTGGTGACACAGGACACTTTCTGAAGTTCATGACTGATGTTCAGGTCATTTAAAGTGCAGCAGCTGGGTCAAGTTTTTAAAAAATAACCTAAGAAAACACTACTAAATTCATGGGGCCACTATAAGATGACAGGTGACTTAAAGGCACATGGGCACATACTTACTTAGGTGATCCCTCGTTGTCCAAGTAGGACTGTCTTCCAAGATAGGTGTACTAGCAGTGGGTCCATAGGTGACTGTGGAGCTGTATTCTTGACCTGCATGTTCTCCTGCAGTGAGGGCATTCGTTTCCACGTGGAAGGCAGTCCTGGTCAGGTTGGCTTGATGCGCCTTCCTCTTGGCACATTTCTCTCTTTCACCCCCTATTCGTGCCTCTTCAAATTCTACAGCACTGCTGGTCACAGCTGACCTCCAGCTGGAGCACTCAAGGGCCAGGGCTTCCCAGTTCTCAGTGTCTATGCCAGAGTTTTTAAGGCTGGCTTTGAGCCCATCTTTAAATCTGCCCAACAACATTCCATTTTCTGTTCTTGAGTCCGGAGTAGAGGAACTGGTTTGGGAGACGGTGGTCGGGCATCCAGACAACGTGGCCGGTCCAGCGGAGTTGATGGCGGAGGACCATCGCTTCAAGATAATAAACTGAAAGTTTGTGGCTGGGATTCAGAGTGAGTGTTGACTGGGTCAAGAATGACTTGGATGAAGGTACAGAAGGCCTACTTATCACATTTGCAGATGAAACCAAATTGGGATGGACAGCTAATCCAGAATTTATATATTTACTATTTATTTACTATATTTATACCCTGCCCTTCTCACCTTGAAGGGGACTCAGAACAGCTTACAATAAAGTGTTGTAGTACTGTGTTTGTGTTTAATAAATCTTTGGACCTTTTATACTGTGTTTGGCATTCTTGAGACTTCTGGGTCTTGACATAAAGACAGGGACACAATTAAAAATGACCCAAGAGATTAGAGAGCTGTGTCAAAACTAACAAAATGAATTTTAACCAATGGGATTTTGGGTTGCATCAAAAGGAATATAGTGTCTAGATTGAGGGAAGTCATGATGCCTTTGTATTCTTCTTTGGTTAGATCTCACCTGGAATATTGTGTCCAGTTCTGGGCACAACAGTTCAACAGAAATATTGATAGGCTGGAAGGTGTTCAGAGGAGAATGGCTAAAATGATCAAAGGTCTGGAAACTGGGTATTTTTAGGCTGCAGAAGAGAAGGTTGAGAGGAGAAATGATTAAATATTTGAATGGATGTCATAAGGAAGAAGGAGCAGGCTTGCCCTGAAAACTAGATGTTGCCCTGAAAACTAGAAAAGTAAATGATGGGGATACTGAAATAGTTATTAAAATGTTCTCTGTCTTGGCTCTGTCATTAATCAGAATGCAGACAAGAAATCAGAAGAAGATTAGGAATTTGATGAACAGCTATGAAGGAACCGGACACGAACCTCGTCCATAGATATACAATACTAAAGTTAGGTTTGCTCATGCCATTGCATTTCCACTTCCTGTGTAAAACTTTTGACGGAGAAGAAAGCTGATTGGAAGAAAGCTGATTAAGGGAAAATCAACTCATTTGAAATGTGGTGTGAAGAAAGATATTATTGCTACCATGAACTGTTAAATAAAAGTAAATGGATCGTACAGAAAATCCCTAGAAGCCAAGATTATTAAACTGTTACATATTATGAGAAAACATGACTCACTAGAAAAGACAATAATGCTTGGTAAAGTAGAAGGCAGTAGGAAACCATACGGATAGACTCAATCAAATATGTCCTAAGTCTGCAAGACCTGAGCAGGGCTTTTAATGATAGGGTGACTGCAAGATACCTTGACAGAAATGTATTATGGACATTGCCCCTCCAAAAAGTAATTTATTTATTAATTTATTATTTACTATATTTGTATACCTCCCTTCTCAGCCCTCAGGCAACTCAGGGCGGTTTATAGAGGCAACGATTCGATGCTCAAGAACATCATAAAACATTTAAAATACTAATACATAGTATAAAATCCAACAAAAGTAATACAAACATAAGCCATTTGTGTCTCCTAATTAAAACCATTATTAATTCTTTCCCTCCAGCCAAAATGTCTCTCACTCCATAAATTTCTAGCATGGCAGAAATGTAAACAAAGTTATTTACACCTAGGTAATGACATACTGTATAATTTTGTTTGCTTAAAAAGAATACAAAATAGAACCTGTTACAGGATTTTTAAAATTTGAAGAAATTACCTTCTTGTCCCATCTTTTGATGGGACAAGAGAGAAAGTGGAAATCTGACTTCCAGTTTTTGAGAGCTAAAATCTGGGGTCAGTCCAGAGTAACAATATTCCAGACTGGCTCCAAGGGTGGCAGCACTCCATGTCCATTCTACAGTGGTGTTGGGGAAGAATCCACATCATCCAACAGGTCCAAAACCAGTTTGGCTCTGCTGGACTCTC